GGGGGGGGGGGGGGGGGGGGAGCTCTGCTTCATGTGTGTCTTATCCTTCTCCCTGGACCAGTGAACTATCTGGGCATGTTCTTGAGACTGAAGAGGGACACAAAGGACTTGCAGAAGTGTGTAGGTTCTCTTAAGACCTAGGTGCAGAACTGGCCCATGGTCACATCTACCCATATGTCATTGGCCAAAGCAAGTCATGTGGCCAAATCCAAAGTTAAGGGGCAGAGACATACACTGCACCTATGATGGACCATGGCATTTGTGTGGATGCAGGGAAAGATACAAAATCATGGTCAATAATGCAATCTCCCACAACTCTGAATCTAAATATTGGGCTCTTACCACAGTTACCCTGCCGCTAGTAAGGGCGTCTCAGCCAACCAGTCACATTAGGACTTTCTCCTTTGTGGTGAATCTAGGCAGAGAATGGGAGAGAGGACACCTTGGATGAGCAGAGAAGCATGAATCTGCCCTCCCTTGCAAGCATTACTGGGTTGCTCTGCTTCCTACAACTAGAATGACTTAATGCTTTACTTGGGCTCTTTTGCACCTATCATTTTGCTTATTGACCACACATACACACATACATACACAAAAAACTTATACTTCATCACATGATAGAAGAGTTGGCAACTTAGATTTATGTTTACTGTGTTATCCAAAGCTTACTTCGTCATGAGGGAGGAGTTACTAGTCCCATTTAATTAAGGCATTAATTAATTAATTTGCCCCAAATCACCCAGCTTTTTACTAGCAAAGCTGAAACTGACACTTGGTGGTCTCACTGCAGGTCCAGGGTCTGGGTGAGGAAACTGAAGCTCAGAAAGGTTAAGAAACATACCCAAAGTCACCCAGCAATCAGAGGCTAAAGTTAATGGTTAACAGCAGGGTTCTGCCAGGTAGATACGGGTTTAGATTTCAGGGTGGAATCTTGGCTCTATCACCCAGCTGCTGTGTGACCCTGGGCAAACTTCCTCCCCTCTCTGAACTTTATTTCCTCACCTGGAGTGGGAATAATAGTAGACTCTACCTTCTGGCCTTGGTGTGACGTTTAAATGACAGTGGGAATAATAAATTATAAAGTGCTTGATCTCAGTCATTTCTCTTCATTTCCCTTCAGCAAAACTAGTGGCAATTTTGACCTGAGAGTGGAAGGCATCTCTATTTCGGCTGATCTGAAGCTGGGCAGTGACCCCGGGTCAGGACACCCCACCGTCACCTGCCCCAGCTGCAACAGCAACATCAACAGTGTGCATGTGGGCATCTCAGGCAGCAAACTGGGGTATGATCTCCTGGGGCTGGGGCTGGGGCTGCGGGGAGGGACCTTGAGCAGCACTCTTCCTATCCTCCTTGTATTCAGAAAGTACATCCAGAGTGCCGCCACCACGGCAGGGCTTGTTCAGATGCCTTGGGTGTTGAGAGGAGGTGGGGCATGGATAAACTGACTCGCTGACTTGGTCCCTGCTTCCAGGTAT